AGCTTATTTTTTAAAAATTTATATTTTTGTAATGAAAAAATTAAAAAGTTAATTCTGGCCGGAAATTAGTAAACAATAATGTAATGTGGGCCAAATTTTTAAAGATCCTCAGCTATTAGCCAATCAAAATTGAGAATCTGCTATACATTTTTTATGCGGTATCTAGATTCAATTATTATACAATTAATTAGTATACTAGAACCCCGGAATATATATGTAGGGGTAAGGTTTTAGTTAGCATATTTTTGATCCTTTTTGTGCAAATTATTTCTATTTATAGTAATTATTTTGCTTATTTTTGACTTTTTTCTTGCAGATCTTTCTAAATTTAGTAATTTTTGTAAAACTTTATCTCTCTATATATATTTTGGGGTCCTAGTATACTCCTCTAATATAAATCACCGGATTTTTCAAATTTGGTAAAGATTATCCATATGACCTTATTGCTGTTAAATTTTTTTTTTTTTTGAAAATTATTATACTGGTCCTAAAAAAAATTTTTTAGTTTTATTCAAACCTATTAGTATCTATTTTTTTTTTTTTTTTTACTATAAAACAAAAAAAACAGTTTATCTGTAAACAACACAACTAAATTATTGGTGCTTGAAAAAATAATATAAAACAAATAAAAATCATAAAGACTCTAAAATTTTCAAAAAGCACTATCAATGATGTTATTACATACTACAAAAAGACTGGAGAAACTGTACTTTTTCCTCATCCTAAACAACCTTCTAAAGTAACTGAACGTGGTGTTTGGCACCTAACTTACATTTTAAAAAAAGACAAAAAGATTACACTTAATATTTTAATGAACAAATTCGTTGAAGCAATCTCCGTAAAAGTATTTACATAAACTATACAATGACATCTTTATAATGAAGAGTTTTATAGTCAGGTTGGTTTAAGAAAACTATTTGTAGATGAGGACTCTTATGTAGCTCATTTGGATTGAGTAAGGATGAAAATAGGTTGGGATAAAAGGTAAAAAAATGTTATTTAGAGTGATGAATTTAGATTTGAGATGTTTGGAAGGGATAGTTATAAGTATACTTGGAGGACAACCTTAGTTGCTAGGGTAGGAATGGAAATGTCTAAGTCTTTAGCTTGTACTCTGTCTCAAGCAAACTTGAAACCTGAGCCCAAAAGTCACATGCCATGAAAACCAAAAGAAAAATATGATGTTAAATGTTTGGTTCTAATATTTAGATCAGAAAGGTTAGATGTAATGATTTGGGAGTGTTTTAGCATATATGATCTTGGGTCTTTGGTTTGGGTTCATAGCAGGATAAATTTGAAAGATTATGTAAAAATTCTTAAAACTTGCTATACACCCTATTTAAACAATTTAATAAACATAGTTGGTCAAAAAAATTATATGTTTCAAGACGATAATGCTAAAATTCATACTTCCAAATTTACTGAACATTGGTTTAATGAAAATAATATTCAACAACTTCTGTGGCCCTCATATAGCCCAGACCTTAACCCAATTGAACATTTATGGGATGAATTGGAGCATCGTATATATAAACACATTCCTCTACCAAGTGATGAGTCAGAACTTTTCAATTTGCTCCAGGAAGAGTGATTTAAAATTAATGGTTTGATTTTAAAAAATCTTGTTGAAAGCATGTGTCAACATGCTCTTGCTGTAATTGCTGCTAATGGGTACTCTACATGGTACTAAATTATATAAATAAAATTTATATATGTAGTTGCTAAATAAAAAAATTATAACCCGAATTAATATGTAGTTTGTTGAGAATTTGCAAATCAAAAACCTGCAAAAAAAAAGATCGTCATATCGTTACCAAAAAAATCCGATGACTTATGTCAGGGGAGTGTACAAAATATTCTAAGTAAAAATGAACACTATATAGCTCTAAATACTGAAAATTTTGTAATAAAAATTTTTATATTCAAAACTTAGAAAAATTTAAAAAATATAATAAAACATATAATAGGTGCAAAACCACCATAGGTGCGTTTTATAATAAATGTAACCTGAATATTATTGTGTTATTATATTTTATTGTATTTTGGAAATACAGAAATATAGCTATAGGGTTTTCTGCTAGCGCTTTCTGATATTGAAGAAAATTATAATGTTTTTTTTATAACTGGGTTAGATATTGTTTTTAATACTACTGCTTATACAGATTATAAAAGAAGAATGTTGCTTGAGTGGATTCCAATTTCTTTATTCCAAGAAAGAAGATGGGAAGAAAAGAAGAATAAACGAAACTAATCTAAGTGCGCGTGAAGATTAATCATTAACAAATTTATTTTGTGATAGAAAGTATACGTTCTTTCCAGCATAAAAATGTGACATGCCATGTCTGCCATGTCATACTTATGAAATTTTCCGGGGACTCTGTTTATACCAAATTTCCATTTATGGCATACAAACCATTATCGGGTTATTATGTACACGCGGGTTTAAAAACACTAAGCGTCACATCACATCAGGTTGGCGGTCAAGACCATAAATGTGATTGTACGTATGTACTTGCATTGATCAATTAGATTTAATATTAGATATATATTTATGTTTCGAATGTATTGAATGTATTGAATGTATTGAAATAAACATTGGTTAGAAAATAATATTAAATAATTCTGTAATTCGGATTTTAGATAATTTAATGTTAACACGTGACTGGACCCATAGATAGCTTATCTACTTGTTTAACGATAAAAAATTTGTGATACAAGAGTTAAAGGTTTAACAAACATCCGATCCTGCTAGTGTCACCTTCTTTCTAAACAATTAACTCTTAATTGTCAATAGGATTATCAAAAATGGGATTTTTATATAGCATTATCACTATCTTACTCATCCCGCATAATTAATTTGTTCATTACCGTTACTCATTCACTCCTCTCTTTTTCACCCTTCGCTTCGTTAACTATTGTGTTCCTTTCATTTTTTTTTTTAACCACTCTCATGTCCTGGTCTAATAGGGAGAACTTAATACGAGTCATTCTATAACTTTCTGAATTCTTTTTCTCAATCTTTTTTTTTTACTTCACAGGAATTCCAAATTGTTCATCTCGTCACTTTACTCATCTACACCCTCTCGGTTTAAATGTCCACACTTGACCGGCTTGCTAATGAACTTTTGTTCAAAATTTTTACGTATTTACACAGGCCGGCCGCCTTTTCTTTAACTTGTAGAACGCTTCATTGTGTTACAAAGGACCCTCATGCAAGGGCCGCTTACTTCCTTCGTAAATATGGCCCTCGGTTAGCAATTTTTTATGCTATACGAAATCATGCTAAGATTGTCACAAAAGAGACGGCTGAAGCGATGATCTCTTCGGGTGCTATTGTATCTCGAAACTTGGCTCAACGTCTTATAAAAGATTATCTAGAAAGACAACCAAGCGAATATTTTCGTTGTTGTTGGACTAGTAAATTAACTTTCGGTACTTACTTGGTATTTCTTCAACGTGCTTATACATTATACGGTGATAACTTATGGGCGAAAGATGCAATGGATGACTGGGAACAATTTCGCATATGTGTCTCGCTACAATCTGGATTGGACATTGATAATGTAGATAATAACATGTTAAATACGACTGCAACTCATGATACTAATAGAGAATATATTCGTGATCTGGTTGAGAAATATCATGTGGTACCTTTACCCCTTCAGTATTGCTTCGCCAATATTTCTGATACTTTTGTTACTATAGCTCGTATTGGTGATAATCAACTTTTAGATATGGCTTTGAATGATCTAACTCACTTTGATCAATATGAATTTTCAAATATCCTTCCTACTATCATAGAAAAATTGATTTATAACAAACCAACTCCTACTCATTTAAAGAAAGCTTTGATGAACATTTTCAGTTTCAACTATCCGGTTCTGGAACAACTAGCTTTGGAATTGATTAGGAATTGTGGACTATATAAAATTCCTAATGTTATAATTGAAACTTTGATTGAAAAGAAAGATGATTTGCCTTTCGATCTCAATGCTGTGGTCGTGCACTCTATTAATGACAAATTTCATTCTATATGCTCATACAATGGTGCACCTGATAACATTGAATCTCTTTGGCATTATTTTCCCGAATTTCGACCAAAAGTGAGGGAAAATCTTAACACACTATTTGCGGATTCGAGAATGGGAGGAGTTATATGTAGCAAGAACGATGCTAGTTATTACGGCTACGGTGTAGGTTGTGTATGTGTAGAATTCATCCTCACAACTTTCGGAGCCGATGATATAATTACTGAAAAATGTTTCAATGCTATCATAAGGGACGTTTGTGAAAAGAATTTAAAGATGCAAGCTAATCGTAATACATTATTTAGCAAGCTCAAACGTAATGATGGTGCTGGACTCACGCTACTCCAAGGATCACCACAATATTTTATTCAATATGTAGAGGCGGGTGTTAGGGTCAAACCTGAACATCTAAAGATGGTATCTAAAAAGGGTATGAATCGTAAATGGTTTCTCAAAGGACTTTTTGAAGCTATGGAAAGATCTTTAAAGAGCGATCACGTAAAGACACAAATAGATTCCGTGAAAGATATGTCATCAGGCGGTGGCAATGAAAATGTCGTGATTGACAAGACCAAATTGTGGAAAAACGTTATTAAAGAAGTATTAAACCAAGAACGTGAAAAATATTATGGCTCGAGTAAAAGATGGTTAAGAAAAGGTCGCTTATATCGTATGCTTGATGAATTTTATAGTAAAAATTTTGAACATTCTTAATTTCTCGAAAAATAAAAAAAAATAAATAAATAAAAAAAAATTAAAAAAAAAGGAAAAAAAGTAGGCATAGATTATCAATTAAATTTTGAAATGAGCATATGTATATAGGTGTGGGAGTGAATGAGATTTTGGATGTAACAAAAAAAAAAAAAAAAAAAGATTGAGGTTCTATTTTTAATTTGGATATAAGGGATTTATTTGTTTTTTTTAGGGAAAGAATGTGAACATTATTTTATATATTTTTTCGTTCTAAATCTTAACATTTATCTTATATATACAATTTTGGTTCAGTTCGATATATTCAAATTTTCCGAAACCCCCTTTTATTCTGAAAAAAAAAAATTAATACATTATTTGCAATATCCATCTGAGAAATTATTTTTATATGTTTAGTGATTGATCCTTTCTTCCTTGATTAGTCTTTAACCGAAAAAAAAAAAAAAAAGAAAAAAAATCGACATAAAAGAATTCTTTCGACTTGAATAAGAAAGTTAAATTTCAGTTTCATCACAGATATATATACATACGTATATATATTTTATCCGATTAAAGTTTCCAAAGTTTTTTTATAAAAAAAAAAAGCGTGTACAGAATCATTCTTTGATGTATTTCCTTTTATCTCCCATTTTATTTTTTTCACTATTTATTTTTCTGTATCATTATTATTCGTTCTTCGCACGCGCACACACGAGATTAGTAAAAAAGAAAAAAAAGTGACAAAAAATTATAATCCGTTTAATATAGAACATATTTATGCAACGAATAAATATGTGATAAAAACATGAATAAAAAAAAACGTATTATAATTTTGTGGAATGAATGAACGCTTTAACGAAAGTACTTGGTTGCCATATCTTAATACGTATGGACTTACTACGCATTTTGTCTATTTATTATTAGTAAAAATACTTAATATAACGACGTTATCGTATCATTCAGAAAATAAAACTATTAAAATCGAAATTTCTAAAACAGCAAATTATATTTTGAAAAAAAGAGAATCGTCTTTCTTTAAGAGCCGTTAATCATAATGTACAAAAATAATAATCTCCGTAAATGCTACACCCTCTGTCTGCTAATATAATTCTTTTATCAATAATTTTCTTTGTAATCAACATGTAGAAATTTACAATCATCACCCAAATTACATCTTCCTGACTTAAAGTACCAACATTCTGATCCTCTCCCACTAACTGGCCTTCCTGATTCGGTTTGACCCCCACCTCTTGGCCGTCCACCCCTTCCTCTTCCGCTCCTACCAACCGTGGATGCTTGAGGTTGTTGTGATTGTCGTCCAAACCCTGGTTCAGTGTATGGACGATTTGGTGAATCACCGTTATATGTGGGTTGAGGTTGTGGTAACCCTGGTTCTTTATGTTGCGGATAAAATTCTTTATTCTGATTGGCCGGAGGAAAAAAGTTTGAATACTGATATGTCGGTGGTTGATTTGGCATATTGTTCGTTGGGTATTGTTGTGGAAATATGGGTTGTTGCGATGCGGGTGGTTGAATCCCTGATGGTGGTGGTGGTTGATGATAATTTATTATTGAGCTTGCTTCAAAGTTCCATGTAGTTGGTTGTTGTTGGGTTGTAGGAAGTTGTGAAGGGATTGGTATGCCTGGTAGATTATTTACTAAAGTTTTGGTTTCTATTCCGACCATATTTGACGAAAATACGGATGGATTCTGTTGCATAGCTTGCCATTTTGTATATATATCTAATAACTGTGTAAATAATTCTTCAGAAATAAAAGGTCGACTTTCTGAATCATTATCTCCAATATCTTCTTCAATATCCTCTTCATCAGATTCTGCATTTAAGATTATTTCCTGAGATGTTATATTATTTCGATTTTGCTGTATATTTTCATCAGGTTCGGCTGGTGAAAATGGAACTTGATCTGATGTAATGTATATTGTTTCCAAGATTTGTCGTTCCCGCTCTTCCTGTATTCTTGCCTCGTCACTTTCCACTGTTGCAGGCTTTATTATTTTCTTGTTGGTCAGATCCAACATGGAAGCAGTATACCATTGAATTGCTGGCGCTTTCCGTACTCTTTTGAAAGCCGTCAACCCTTCATTTCTATCAAGATCTCGTGCATTTCCAAATTGATGTGGCGTATTGGCTGCTGAAAATTCACCTTCCATTTCATCGTATTCCTCTTCAAATATTTTGACCTGAGTAAGCATATTATCAGGTGCAAAAGTTACTCGCTTCCTTTTTTTTAGATATGGTGACTTTGATATCCTTTTTAGCTTCCTTTATAGTCAATGACTGTCCGTTCTCTTGCTCTTTTTTTACTACCGATGATCCGCCATCTTCTATTACTTCTGACGAACTTTTAGAAGTTCCTATAATCATTAAAGGATCTTGCTTTTCAGCAGCAACTTTGACAACTGCCATTGGTTTTTGCTGATCTTTTTTGATTGTTTTGGTAACTGGCTTCACTGGCTTTGCAGTATTCAATCCGAGAATTTCATCAAAAATATTTGTATCAGGCCTCGCTTGCAATTTAGGATCGATTTCCTTCGCTTTAGACTCGGTTGATAGCTTAATACGAGTTGATGCCTCCTTTCCCTTTGATACTTTGGATGTTGATGGGTTAGTTTGTGATGTTTTCGACAATGTTGAGCTGGTTCGTACCCCTGCCTTACTTGCGTTAGCTGCGACATTAGATGCTGCTGCTAGTTTTGCCTCTTGCACAAGCTTAGCATCGTGTTGTTTCTTTTCTTCTTTCCATTTGCTTATAAGCAAAGATGCTAGTGCAGAGACCCCTTCTATTTGTGAATCTTTTACACTTTTATTATTTATCACTTTGCCAAGCCCACTTGCTGACAAGGCCTCGATATCGATTGGAAGGTGATTCACTGTTTGAAGCAACCTGAGTAACAATCCACTATCAGGTGTTTTTGCTTCATCGATTATCCAGTTCCTTAATAAGTAATGAGCTCTTTCAGATACTAAACTTTTAAGCGTATCTAAATCTTTCGTCTGATCAATAATTGTTAGAATTAATCCACGTTCACTTAGAGGAGTGTCTTTGACTTTATGAAGGAAGTCATGAACTACATCAGAAGAGATCAGTCCTAATTCTGGCGTTTTCAAGTATGGCATAATGGTTTCAATCAGTTCCTTTGAATTATCAGTCTCTGATTTTGTCTTTACAGGCTCTTCCTGTTTTTCAGAATTATTACTCTCAGTGTTTTGAGTTATAGGAAGGGCATGACTCGCTTGATTATCTCCAATATATACATAAACCTCATGATTTGGAATTGGTGGATTTACATGACTAGTATATGAAAAATATGGTGAAGTAATTGCTCCCATATTCGTATGCCCTTGAGACATAGTAGTACTGGAACTACTTGCGGGTGGGTTCAGAGGTATAGTGATGATAGCGGAGGTAGTGGATGGTGCTGGTGTGGTAGAATTTAATGCTGTGTTTGCCGCTGCCGCACTATTAGCTAAAGCCCTGTTCGAAATCATTGTAGGATCTTTCTTTCTTCTTCGTTGAAACCATTCGTTAACCTGAACGTCAGTTGCGCCAATCTGCGCAGCTAATTGAAGCTTTCGAGCTTTATCGGGGTATGGTGTTTCTTGATATACACCTTCCAATAGTGTTCTATGCTGCGTTGTGAACTGAAATCTAGGCCTTGGTTGTCTTGGTTGCATTGTTGAGATACTAACTTGATTCACGTTTTCCATTTATGAAATATTTTATCAGCCTATCTTTTTTTGTCAGTTAACTTATTCGAAAATCTTCCGGTCTGATGCCTCGTGACTGAAGTTCATTGGCCGAACTTTTGAATAAAAATATTCGATTTTTTGGGCAGATCAAAAATATCAAAACTGTATACTATATATATAAAGCATTTTTAGCAACTTAGCAAAGAAATTCATATAACTTCTAGGTAGTGATGTGATTTGGTAGCTACCAGTAGAACCGTTAGGTCGGATAGGTTAGTTTTTAAATTTTATGATACTAATCATGCGTGTAGTAGTACTTACCGATAGCTACTGGTAAACATGAGAAACCATACTACTACTTCTAAAGTCATAAATTCTGTAAATTGTGGGATTAAATAATAAAGTTTAAGCATAAATTAAAAATTATATAGTACGTTTATTTTGATATGCAGGACTGTATTTGTATAGTAAATTTTTATATTAGTTCTACCGTAAAAGATTATACTACAAGTAACTCTCGATATAACTGTATAAGTAACCTTCGATATAAGAAACACTCGATCTATTAAAAGTTTTATAATAAAAGGCACTTGATATAAGTAATCTCGATATAAGAAAGGTTTTTACTGGACCCGGCAACTTTCTTATATCAAGATTCGCTTGTATACTAAATTAAGAGTGTTGTCCTTCTCTATAATCACGTGTTTTGTTTTACATAAAAAAGATGTGATTATAAAAATTTAAAGTGATTATATAAAGTTTTTTAATAAATAAATTGTCAAAAAATGGTGCTTATAAAAAGGGTGTGACTATATAGAAGATGAGGATAACTGTATTAGTATAGTAACTACAGTATACAGTATTAAAACAAATAGTAAATTTTTTTTTTAAAATAAAAATGCTAATAAAAATTAGGTTTATTAATTTTTTAATTTAATACTATATATATAGTTATATATATATATGATGCTATATGGGCTTTTACTAAAATGCACCTACAGTATAATGCTTTACATATATATGCTGTATATACTAGTGTTGGAATTTTAAATAACCAAATGAATTAGTCGTTGGTCATTTGGTTATTTATGTTTGAAAAAACTAAATAACCTAATATAAAAAATTATACACACATTTGCCTGTATCTTATTGGCTGACATATGATTATTGTTCAATTACGTAATACTGCCAATTTAACTGCCTCGTTCAAATTTTAGATGTCCGTAGAAAAAAAGCTGCGGCCAAATTTTTTTTTTAGCTTTTAATCAATATTTCTCAACATCTGTCTATTCAAATTCGATCAAATTTTTTTTATTTTAATCCTATGTATTTGCAGAATCAAAATAAAAAAATGCCCATTGAATTTGGATATATGGGTGTTGAGAAATCATCGTTTAAAATTTCAAAAAGAAAAAATTTGCTTTCTTCCAGATATTTCGAGCTTTTTCAAAACTTCTAGCGAAGGGTTCTCGATAACCACTAAATTAAATTTTTTTTATTTTAATTTTATAAATATATAGAATCAAAATAAAAAAAGTTTTACTAAATTTGATCAAATGGTTACTGAGAAATCTCGCTAGAAGTTTAAAGAAATTCAAAATTTTCGAAAGGATTTTCAATTTGATTGGTGAATATTTCAGATCGGAAAAACAAGTTTCCCCTAGATCGACACAGTGCTGCCAAATTAACCAATCAAACGAAGTTTTCTATAATGTCAAATTTTAATTATAAACAACATTTTTCGTGTTTTGATCTATAAAAAATGAGAACTGCAAATAGAGGAAAAATATCACTTAAAGGCTCTACTAAATTAATAGTAGAATTTTTTGGTAAGCTATTTTATAAAATTATCGTTTATGGTCTAAATTTAATCCGCATCTCTAATTACCATTGAACGAAATAATAGAATTTGCTTTGACTAGGTAAAACATATTATATTCGATTATATATTCAAATTTTCTCGATATGCTAAAGCGGATTATAGTATCTTTTTTCAACGTGGAGTTTATCCCGCTGAAGACTTTAAATGGGTAAAGAAATATGAACTAAACGTTTTAATGGCACTCGATGATAATGTTAAACTGTATTTAAAGAGATTGGCAAATCAACTAGAAAGTAAGTGACATAATTGACAATTCATTGTTTTTTTAAATATAGTTGTAATTTCCTTTTTATATATACTTATTATCGTAAAATAATCTAGCTTGGTTAATGGCAGGCAAAATAGATAAACTTGTCCTAGTAATCATCTCATGCGAAACACGCGAGACACTTGAAAGATGGCAGTTTGACATTGAGGTTATCGAAGATAAGGCTCAAGATAGTTCCACGTAAGGTTATTCCGATAGTGTGACAAAACAATAATATTCACATGCTTATATTTTACTTAATTAATATTAATTGTCATAAAGAAAAAAAGACAAATCATATGATGAAATACAAAAAGAAATTCAAGGAATTATTCGTCAGATAACTGCCAGTGTTTCTTTTTTACCAGTTTTGGAAGATAAATGTATGAAGATGTGCATAATTTTATCTTGTATGACAATATATTTTAACTTGCTATCTTTATCGAACAGGTACATTTTCTATATTGGCATACACCGATAAAGATGTCGAAGTGCCAGCTGAATGGAGAGATGGTGATCCGCATCTTATACCAAATGCCGAACAGGTTAGACTCCGTTCGTTTTCGACGATGGTACATAGAGTGCATGCACAGGTTGCATATAAGCTTGGTGACGAAGTTTAATTTATCACAATAATAGTGTTGAGTTTTTTTCTTTAGTTCAACAGTTAATTAACGCGTCAATTGGTTACAACATTTTCGTGTTTAATTATCATATTAAAAAAATCTATTTTGAAGCTAATAGATTAATAAAAGCGTGTTCGGTTAGGATATGCTACATCACAGAATATTTACATAATTTACGTCAGTTAATAAATCAGTGTTGGCAATTGGACCAATTAGACATAATAAAATTTTTATTGGATTTTATTGGACATATGCCCAATTCTAATTAGTCGTATGTCTAATTCCAATAAAATTTTATTGATCATTTAATAAATTGTATCATTTCTGATTTGGACAAATTTAGAATCGTTATTAAAAGATTTATATCCTCATCGAAATAAAATTATGGAAGTTGTTTCAAAATCGGATCTTTTGCCTATAGACACCTTATATGAGCGTCGCGATACTCACTCATATGGAGCCTTTGCCTTGAAAATGACCTTACGGGACTATGTAGATTTTATGGATCAAAATTAAAATTTCTAACTATCCAGTAATCCGATTTAAATAAACTTTTTTTTTATTTTGTAGAGCTTAGTGAATTCTACAAGATAAAAAAAAAAATTATTTGAATTTGATTATTAGATGGCTAGAAATTTTACATAGTCCCGTAAGGTCATTTTCAAGGCAAAGACCCCATATACCTCTACCCGGATATTATTAAATTACTAGCAACTTCTACCCGGGTACAATCTCGCATCCATTTGATTGATTGTCGATTGTCATATGATAAATTATCTGTTATATATATTTGTCAAGTTATAATTTTGTATAATAAACAGTTGAAATTTTAACGGTAATCAGATTCGTCGATTGTTTAGTTTGTTTTTTCACTAGTTCCTGTGTGATAATATTTTAATTTGAAAAAATCTAAACAGTGGATCCATGCACTATAGCCAAACAAGTAAAATATCAGAGAGAAAGTACATGGGGCACCAACTACTGGACTAGCCCTTTCCTTTTAATTTTTTTTAAAAAGTAAATCATATAATAATTTTCTAAACAAAATTTGCCTAGAATTGGTATAAGAAATACCGTAGTCCACCGACTAAAATACCCAGTGTGACAAATAATGTAAACCAATTTTAAAATTTATAATACTGTAATATGTAAATTATTTGTTACGCGATACCTGTACACATGGTTATACGTACGTATCAAAAATTGGTAACTTTAATAATTTATTGCTAAATAAATTCTACTATGAAATGATTGACCAATCATAGGAAAATTACCATGAGAATAAAAAGATTATCTTCTACCGTTATAAATTAACTTTCTCGAGTCTAAACTGGCACTCTTTGGAAGTATTAGGCGCATAAAGTCCTTTCATCCATATATTACTTTAAAGCGGTTGCATTGTGTTCATTTTACTACTTTGAAAAAAATGTCGGAATACACTGTTCGAAACGTTGGTGATGTAAACACTTTGGAACACAGATTATATATCGGTATCTATTTGATTTACTTTTTTATTCTATAAGATGGCAAGTTTTTAAGGTTATTGTAATTTGTGTAGAAAGGGCCGGCACTGTAATTTCTCCTTTTCATGATATCCCATTGTTTGCAAATGAAAGTAAAACCGTCCTGAATTTTATTGTTGAAATTCCAAGGTGGACAAATGCTAAAATGGAGGTATATATTGTTGGGTATCATTTCGTGCCAATATGAATGATTCAATCGCTCATCTTAGTTTAATTACATATTAGATTTGCAAGGAAGAAAACCTTAATCCAATAAAACAAGATGTGAAAAAGGGTAAGCTTCGCTATGTCCGTAATTGTTTCCCACATCACGGTTATATTTGGAATTATGGAGCTTTCCCTCAGGTAATCTATTTTTTTGGGATGAGAAAATGTTTATCGTCAAAATCGTATTAACTATTATTTTATAGACTTGGGAGGATCCCACGCAAACCCACGCTGAAACCAAGGCTAGAGGTGATAATGATCCGCTCGATGTTTGCGAAATCGGAGAACATGTAGGGTATACCGGACAAATAAAACAAGTCAAGGTCCTAGGTATCATGGCACTTTTGGACGAAGGTAACTATTAGCTTGTACATTATTAATTTTTAATTGTTTATCATTACACGCTAATTATTTTTGATAGGTGAGACTGACTGGAAAGTTATCGTCATTGATATCAATGATCCTTTGGCGAACAAGTTGAATGGTCTGTATTTCTAAAATTCATTACATGCCACGAATTTTAAGTAAGATAAATAAAATTTGTTGCCATTTGTATAAAAAGACATCGAAGATGTTGAAAATCATTTACCTGGTCTCATTCGAGCAACAAACGAATGGTTCCGTATTTATAAAATCCCAGATGGTAAACCCGAAAACTCATTTGCGTTTAGCGGAGAAGCCAAAAATAAGGTTAACAATGATTTGTACTTTTATTTTATAATAAAATAATTATGGTTTGACTTAACAATTTATTAATTGTTTACAGAAATATGCTACCGAAATTATTCATGAAACTCATGAAGCTTGGAAGCGTCTAATCAGCGGACAAATTCCTGAACAGACTGACAAATATTATATTAACACGTATGAAGGAATTGTTTCAATTAATTTAGTTATAATCTTTTATATCATTGCGATTTTCTAATTAATATTTTTTGTGAGTATAGTACTAATCTGACGAATGACGGTAGTCCTCATCAAATTACTACCGATGATCCCATTTACCAATCCATTCCCCCAAGTACCCCAGTTAAATATGCACCAATTGATCCATCAAGTAAGTTATATTTATAACTAACTATTCGTTATTGTTAAACTTCATAATACTAATTGACCCATTGAATTTACGCAGTTGACAAATGGTTTTTCATCTCTGGTACCTCCAGTCTATAATAATATTTTAATTTTATATTCTCGATTGGAATTTTTTTATTATTAATAAATAAATTATAATAGCTATTTAGTGCTTATTTTATTTCATTTAAATAAAATGATAATTCTCGATTTCAAATAATTCAGTTAAAGTAGTAACTAGTATACATGAAATACGCACAAAGAAAAAACTAATTACTTAAGATATTAGGGAATATAAGCTCTCAATTAACCAGAACAGCTTCTTTTCCAATTCCCTTCATAGTCTGAACGATATCTTCAGCAGAAAGTTTTCCTGTTGTGATTTGAACGGTCTTAGTTGGAAGGTCAATGCTATAGGTTGAGATACCTGTTGTTCATAATGTAAAGTCAGAACCAGAAAGTGAAAAGGTTTTAAAAAGATTAATTTATACCTTCAAGCTTTTTTAAGGCTGTATCTATAGACCTGCTACAGCCTTGACAAGTCATGGGGTTAACCTCAAATTTGTAAGTTTGCTACAAGCAAACGTATTCAGTAAAAATAAATATGTTTAATTCGTAGCCTCCCAAAACAGAACAAAAAAAAAAAAAAAAAAAGCCAAGATAAATACTTCAGCGGACATGTTTCGTAATTATTTTTGATGGTTTAGTTGTTCGATGGTTTTTTTTTATTTAGCGTTTTTGCAGTTGATAATTTATCTTGCCGATTTAAATATCGATAACGACCACGCCATTGTATTACAAATACATTTTGTTAACCTATTTTCCTGACAGTCATTTCCTCTACAAGCCACTTTCCCGATGATCTGCGCTGATAAAAAGGATAGATTAGTAGTCATAGACAGAAATTCGTTTGATTGGCTGATGTAAATCAATTGCCCGGGTAACTTATTTATACACTTTAAAGTAC